TTCACAATGTACACCAAAACCCAACACAGACAAACTTGAGGGCACACTCATGAACAAAAGCCCAAACGTTTGTTCTCTATCTTTTTTTACTGAAATGGCAACTTAGTTGCCGTTGCCGTTGCCGTTGATAATGACGATAATAATGATAATGGGGATGCTTATGTGATGGTTTTCTTAACCAAACGCAAATTAAAATAATTATATTACTTACACAGTGGTAATTAATATTCATTGCCTCCTTTTTCTTTTTCTTGTGGGTTATGGCTCGTTTTGCATGATTCTCGCAAATTTTTTGCAGTTTGTGTCTATACAAATTTTTTAATAATTTTTATCACGTATCATGTTTCACTTTCTTTTTTTCATTTACAAAGTTTAACAGACAATTATGGGTGCAATTGCTTAATTTTTAAGTTAAATGCCATTTTTAAGTTAAAACAGTTTAACTGGAGATTTTGAGCAAAAAAGTGCTCAATTTAAACTCAATTTAACAAACAACATTTTTAGTTTATTGTGTTTAAGCTGGTTAAATAAATTAACGTAAAAAATACAGTGTTGTTAACTTTTTAACACCACAACGTTGCAGCAACAACAACAATAACGGCAACATTCACTTGACCTTACTCAAATGTAAAATGCCAAAAACAAGCTGATTAGACTTTTCCGATCAAGTTGAAGCAAATTCTATGCAAATGTTGAAAAATTTGAATATGAAAAGACAGCAGCTGAAGGGAACTTGAGTATAATCAATGCAAAATATGCTCTTTTTTGGATTTTACTGAAAAGAAAGATCAACGACGAGATGAGGCAATTTTTGCATGCAAGAAAGAGTCTTTTGAGAGGTTGCTTCTGGCAGCTGTCGTCCTTGTCGACGATGCCGACAAGTCGTTGCAGCTCATTAGTAAACATTAGTAGTCATCTTTTTGGGCGCCCTTTGTCGCTCAATCTGCTTTTCTGCTGCTTTCACAGCATAAAACTTTTCAAACGACTTGCAGTTTACTACTGCTCGGTTATGTCATCGGCACCTAAATCAGTGGCAGTTAAATCAAAGAGGGGAGAAGCAAACACCATTTGCATTTGCATTGATTGATTTTAAGTCATTTTACTCACTCACTCATCACCTTAAGCTGACTGACTGGCAATTAGGTGTCACCACCCCGCTGCCGCCCCTCATCAGTCAGCCACCACTGTGAACTACGTGAGTACGTGCAGACTACTGTTTGGTGACTATTTAATCTGCGTGAAGATTAACAACCGCCGAACAGCCCGAGAGATCACGTTCAGGCGTTTACGCTCTCTTTTTAGCTTTGCCAGTGGTGGTGGTCATTGCGTTCACTACTTCACTAAAAGAGACTAAAAAGAAGAGGTTGAAAAAGAAGGGTAAAAAAGAGAGAAGAAATCTTTTCCCCCTTTTTTGTGGCGGAAAGTGAGTCAATCGAGTAAATGGACACTTGCCGTCATTAGAGTTGTTGCTGCTGCTGCCGTTTCTGTGATTGCTCTCCAGAGTCAGTCATTTGCGCTCTCACATTTGCTCTCTCTCTTCTCTAACTCACTCACTAATGACCCACCAGCAGACAGTCAATCGAGGAGGTACTGCCACTGCCACAGCTTTTAACTGTTTTCCCTCTCTTTTTCTTTTTCCACATTTTTGCTGATTCAGTTTTGTTAAACTGTTTTTCCTAAACCGCACTACTATCACTGCACAAACAACAACATCCCAAAATGACACATCAACAGCAAAAGTGTCAGGCACCTAATCTAGTTGTTTGAAAGCATCACTTGTTGCCAATTCTGTTTAAAAGCATTAAAGTTACTCGGCTTAGGCGATATTTTATATTAATTGTTTTTCAAGAATTTTAAAGGGATTTAACAATTGTTTGAACAATTTAACACTTGCTAAAGTGTAAAATTGCCGTTGCAACAGCGGAATTTTAATGACAGAATTTTAATGGTTGAAAGTGTTGAAAATGCAACGGTAATTAATCAAGATTTCTCTTTCTTCTTTGATTTAAATTTCTGTTGTCGCCTGTCAAAGCTCCTAGTCTTTTTTCTTTTTTGCCAACATCTTAATCGATTGATTGCATTCAGCTTTACTGCATTGTTTCTTTCATCAGTTGCTCTTTTTTTGTTTTCTCTTTTCTCTTTATTTTTCACTTATCTTTTTGTCAATTTCATTCTCAGTCGCATCAGCTACCACATCAGCAGCAGCAGCAACAGCAGCATTCTTGGTTGCACAATCTTTTAGTCCTTTTATTTTCCCTTTGACAGCTATTTCTCCTTCGCTTTTGCTTTACCGCAGCGCCTGACTTGATTAAGTGTGAGAAATGATCTATGCAAATCTCTTTCTTTCTGGCCAGATTGTGAACAGCAGGCAGGCAGGCAGCTGTCTGCAGTTTGGCAAATGGTTTTGTCGAATAATGTGCGTTGTGGTTTTCGCTATGTGAATTGAATAATGCAAAACACAGTGAAGAACAGTGTGTGCCTGCGTGTGTGTGTGTCTGTGTTTGTGTGATCCAAACGTGAGCTGTCTCTCTGTCTGTTTGGAATTCCAACCGCCAAACAGCTCTGTTTTCTAGTTTGCAATTCAATCAGTGTGTGTGTGTGTGTGGTCAAACAATTACTATCATTTTTGAACAATTTTTCAACAGTAAAAAATGGCTGCTAGTTTGTGTTAATTTTGAGCAAATTTTTTGTGAACGGTTTTTTTAAACAAAACCTTTAACTAAAACCTCTGTCATTTTTATTCTTTCAGTACTAGGCAAACAATCTCAGTGTATTTTTTGTGCTGGCGGCAGTACCGAATTGATTTTTGCTCTTTTTTCTCCCTCTTCCACCACAACGACCACCACCACTACTTTTTACCCCAAAAGCAGAAGCTAAAGAGCATAAGTTAATTAATCACATTTGCCGCAAAACTACCACTACTACTACTACTGCCACCAATAAAATTACTTTTACTTTCACTTTGTGTGTTTATTTATTTGTCCTTTTCCTCCTCCTCGCCGTCTCTAGTTTAATAGTTTTGCGGCAGTCAGGCAGACCATTGTCCTCCTTTCGGAAAAGAACAAAAGGCCAAAGAAAGAAAGAGAGAGTTGCACTTTGTTGTTTGGCTAATTAATTTGCCGCCTGTCCAACAAGCAACTAGCAGCGTTCAATCTGTCGGTTTGGTGGTGGTGGTGGTTGATGGTCGTCGGGGTTGAAAGTCGCAAAGTGAACAGAAGAAGAAGAATGAAAAGAAACTCATTGACTTGCTGCCGTCTACCACCATTAACCCTTTCCTCTCTCTCTCTTTCTCTCTCTCTTTCTTTCTGAATAATAAATTTATTCAGTGGTCAAAGCATTACCATTACCGCCACCAATTTATCAGCCCCGATCGTACTGTGTCTGTACTTTAACTGAAACGGCAGCCAACATAAGCTCGCTGTTGTGTGTTGTTGTGGTTGTGTGGTTGTAGCCCTGCCAATTGTGGTCGTTGTACTTGTACTTGTAGTTGTTTTAGTAGCAGTTGTGGCGGTAGTAGTAGTTGTTGCTGTTTTTGTTCTTGTTCCAATTGGAACACACACACAGCTGAACAATAAGTGCAGTGCAGTGCAGTTGGTCAGTCGGGAAACGTTGTGCACTCACAGTGCACTTGTGCTTTCTTGTTTGCAGAATGCAGTAGTTTTTTCTTTACTAAAATAAAGAGCTAGGAAAAAGTAAAAATCAAGACCGCTGTTTTTGTTGCTACTGCTTTTTCAACTTCGGAACTTTCTTTCTCTCTCCCTCTCTCTCTCTCTCTCTTTTTCTCTCTCTCTCTTTCTCTCTCTCTCTTTCGATCGACCGGTACGGCTTCAGATTGCCATTGTTGTAGTTTGCGTGCCGGCTACTAAATGCAGAATTGTTGAACAAAAATAGAAAGGAATAAATTGAGCTGAAAAGAGAGGCAAATCACAGTTAGCTTTGTTGTGGTTGCTCTAGTGGTGGTGGCGGTGGTGGTGGTTCTAGTAGTGGTCAATAACCAGAAAATGACAGTGTTTTACCCGTGCAGACTAACAAATTATTGGAAAAAACAGAGAAGGAAGGAAGAAATTGAAAACACAGAATACTGCTGGGAATGGGAAAAAAGAATAAGAGGATTGTTTTAGCCAGTGTTGTTGCTCCTGCTGTTGTTATTGCTGCTGCAGTGGCTATTTCGAAAAAACAAGCTCAAAAGCAACACAAATAACTCACTACCTTTTACTTTTTAAGCAACATTCACTTCTACCAACATTTACTCAACTAACCAATATATTTTCTTCTATTTTCTCTTTTGTTTTTCTCTTCAGATCGCTATCGGATACAATGTCATCACACTGGCACTACTTTTAACAGCAAAAAAATATTACCACTTTTCATCAAGTCTTCCTCAATACTCATTTTAAAAAAAGACACTGACTGATACAATGACCATTTCTGCTGGCGTCGGCTGCCGTTTTACAATGGCAGTGGCGGCAGCCATTGCAGNATTTTCTCTTTTGTTTTTCTCTTCAGATCGCTATCGGATACAATGTCATCACACTGGCACTACTTTTAACAGCAAAAAAATATTACCACTTTTCATCAAGTCTTCCTCAATACTCATTTTAAAAAAAGACACTGACTGATACAATGACCATTTCTGCTGGCGTCGGCTGCCGTTTTACAATGGCAGTGGCGGCAGCCATTGCAGCCACCGTTGCTAAAATTTTAGCCTCTGAAACATGAAAATGCAAACATTGAAAAACTGTTTTGCAGAACCACTTTCCATTATCACTACCACCACCACCACCACCTCCAATACCACGACATTAGTTAGCTGACAAAACTTCCTATCTTTTTATCAACTCACCGACATTCAACATTGCCACCACCATCACTCTATTACCACTTTTCATTACCATCACCCTACTATCACTTCCATCACCTTTTGTTATCTCATCCTAAAAAACCACCACCACCTAAAATCACTTTGAAAAAGGGGGCAAACTAATCATCACTATTGAAGCATGGCCTCCGTCGCCGCCTGGCTGCCCTTCGCCCGGGCGGCGGCCATCGGCTGGGTGCCCATCGCCACCAATCCGCTGCCCACGCCGCCGGCCATCTGCGCCGCCCGGGCGGCCCGCGCCCGCGAGGAGGAGGAGAAGTTCGTCATTAACGTTAGCGGCCGCCGCTTTGAGACGTGGAAGAAGACGGTGGAGAAGTACCCGGACACGCTGCTGGGCAGCAACGAGCGGGAGTTCTTCTACGACGAGGCCCGCCGGGAGTACTTCTTCGACCGCGACCCGGACCTCTTCCGCCACATACTGAACTACTACCGGACGGGGAAGCTGCACTACCCCCGCCACGAGTGTCTCATGTCCTACGACGAGGAGCTGGCCTTCTTCGGCATCATCCCCGACGTCATCGGCGACTGCTGCTACGAGGACTACCGCGACCGGAAGCGCGAAAATGCCGAGCGGATGATGGACGACCGCCTGGAGGAGTCGGAGACCGCTCTCCGCGACGCCCCCAAAGGGACCATCCGCCAGCAGATGTGGCGCGCCTTCGAGAATCCGCACACCTCCACGGCGGCGCTCGTCTTCTACTACGTCACCGGCTTCTTCATCGCCGTCAGCGTGGTGGCGAACGTCGTGGAGACCGTCCCCTGTACGCACAAGGAGGGCAATCCCGACTCGAAGGTCAGCTGCGGCGACACCTTCAAGGTGGCCTTCTTCTGTCTGGACACCGCCTGCGTGATGATCTTCAGCTGCGAGTACATGCTGCGGCTGTACGCCGCCCCCACCCGCTGCAAGTTCATGCGCAGCGTCATGTCGGTGATCGACGTGGTCGCCATCATGCCCTACTACATTGGCCTCTTCATCAAGGACAACGACGACGTGTCGGGGGCGTTCGTGACGCTGCGCGTCTTTCGCGTCTTTCGCATCTTCAAGTTCAGCCGCCACTCGCAGGGGCTGCGAATACTCGGCTACACGCTCAAGAGCTGCGCCTCGGAGCTGGGCTTTCTCGTCTTCAGCCTGGCGATGGCCATCATCATCTTCGCGACGGTGATGTTCTACGCGGAGAAGAACGTCAGCCAGACGACCTTCACCAGCATTCCAGCGGCGTTCTGGTACACCATCGTCACCATGACCACCTTAGGGTAAGTGGAGGCGGCGGCAGACTGCTTTTTCCGTATTTCACCGGAGGTTTTTTTCTTGCCAAAGTAATGAGAAAAGGAAATTAAAAAATAAAACAACTCGGTGATAAACATGATGGTCAACTGGGGCAACTTTTCTGTTATTGATTTTTGCATTAAAAAATTTGTCACTTTTTCAAATTGTTCATCAATTGAGAGGTTCAATTTAAATTCGCTTTTAAACGGTTTTTTGTACGCCAATGATCAATCTTTGTTTGTGTTAGGGACAAATTGAGTATGGGCAAACAAAACGTTGAGGGAAAAAATCAATAAAAAGTTCTAGACACTGAAAATGAAAATGAAAATTTTCTTTATTTAGAAATAAAACTGAATTATCGTTGACATTGAAGTTTTTTGTTTCTTTTTCTTCTTCTGGCTAAAAATACCACCATTTGATTTTCTTTTGTTCTGTTCAATTTGACATTGTACAATTGAACAAAAAATTGTGTGCACGTCAGTGCGGTCTGGTTCTGCCTTCTTCAAACATCCCAACACACAAAACAAAAGACAAATCTTTAGAGAATTTAAACATTTTACATTTCAGTGTCATCATCAGTAGTTTTTCGTTTTTCCAATTCCCTAGACTAGTTAAAGTTTTTTTCAAATTTAAAAAACCTTTTTGCAGATGAAAACTGCTTGCATTTAATATTGAATGTGTTCTATTAATTGCTTAGTTTTGCAATAACAGTTTTTTGCTGCCAGTTTAGTTTTGTCTTGTCGCATCCAATTGCCGCCAATTTTCCGCTAAAACAAAAAGGGTCATTTAAATTCCCATTTTTACAGTTTTTTGAAGTGCTCTTTTTTATTTGAACATCATAAGAATTTTAATTTTTTAACACATCGCTCAACCGTATAATTGACTTTTGCCAGGACAAATGTGTTTTTAACAACAGACACTAGCTATAACTGCATTGCTAAAATTAAGTTAAAAATAGGATCAATGAGATAACATTAAAATTAAAAAAATAGAGAAAAAGGTCGGAAAGTACACTTTGTACAAACAGACACCAAAAACACTGAACTGGCTCAATGATATGTTTGAGAGTTATCAATCTGCTTTCAGTTACTATACAAAAGAAAATGAAACTTGAACTCGAGTTTTCTGTTTAAAATGGAGAGGAGTGAGAAGAGTCAGCTAAACAAATACAACCAGAAAAGTTCTTTTGAGCTAACTGTGCGGGTGTGTGTGTGTGTGACGTGCTTTTAAATTGCAAAATTGCGTTAGCTAAAAGTCAGCCAGAGAAATAAACGTAAAGTAAAATAGAAAAGGCAAAAGCAAATAAAAGGCAGAACAAAAGTGAAAGAAAGCTAGAGAGAAGAAAGAGAAATAGAAAACAAAGCAAAGCTATAGTAAACGTACACACTTTTGCCAGCTACGCAATCCTAAGCAACGGCAGCAGTTTTAAAGTAAAGTTAGGGTCCAACCTGCCAAATCAGCCCCAAATCAAGCGGGCTCAAATCAAACAAGAGCGACGAGAAAAAAAAGAGAGAAAAAGACGAGACTTGGATTTCAAAGATGAACGAGACCAAAGAACAAACTTTGAGTTTTTGGTTGAACTTTCAAACAGCTTGTCTACCTGATTTTACTTTTTATTTGTTCTACAGTTGAACTCTATTGTGTGTATGTGAGTGTGTGCTGTCTAACAAAGTGTTTCTCAAAATAGAATTGAACGTTGCTTTCTCTAAAATCACAAATTTTGTTAGTTTCAGTTTTATTTGTTTGAGTAGTTTGTTTTAGCATTTACGCCTGGCTACAGTTAGTTCACGGCATTGACCATTGCAAAATTTTTATTTTATTACAAAAAAACAAAACAGAATAAAACGCTGACAAACATTCAAAATACAAAATCAGTCAACTGTCGTTCTAGTTTTGGCATTTGTTGCTGATGCTGCTGGTGTTGCTGTTACCAATTTTTGCACTTACTTTTTTGCTGCAAATGTTGACTGCTGATTAGAATTGACTGCACGGCTTTTTTGCTGTTTGTGTTTGTGTATTACTTTTGGCAGTTGGCAGCTTCACAACTAACTAGCACACACACACACACACACACAGTAGTGCACATCTCTGCTCAATGAAGCGATTGATTGACTGAACAGGCACCAAATGAAACAAACGGAGAAAGGTGCTGCCCTGGCCGAGAGATTGATGCAAATTGCGTTTCAATTGTGTTTGCTGCTGCTGCTGTTGCTGCTGTCAATTGCCCAAATCAGCATCAGCAGTGGTCATCACCGTACATTTGGGTTTTATTCTTTTTCTTTATTTTTTCTTTCAGGCAAAAACAGGACAACAAATAACGGCATACATTTGCAGTGCATTAACCAAAACAAAGCTTTGTTCTTCTTTGTCATTTTGCGTCATTTTCTACTATTTCATATTTTTTTGTTCTAGACGGTTAGTGTCTGTGTCACACATTTGCATTTGTTGTTGTGGTTGCTGTTGTTGCTGCTGCTACTAGGCACACCATGTCATTTGCACATTTTTAGCCTTTTTTCGCCCAGAAAACTTTTGTTTTGTTTGAGAAAAATAAAAAAATTACTACAGAACTTGACAAAACAAAGTCAACAGCAAAAGCAGCAGTTGTGAAGCAGTCAGTCAAGTGGAAGGATAAGACTAAATAGATTCAGATAAAAAACAAAACAAAAATCAAGGTTTCAGATCAGCACTGAATGCACTGGGCGCCTAGGCGCAGAAATTCGATTTTCTTTGCCTGCCAGCAAGTGTGTGTGCGTGTTCTTGATTTGCGTTTGGCATGTTTTCCCACTGGTGTTGCTGTTAACGGCGGTGGCAATTGTGAAGAGGACATGAACAGGATTACTCAGTTCCAGGGGAAAAAAAGGGAAAAAAGAGTCCTCTCTTTTCAGACAACATCTTGCAAATCTCCTTCTCCCTTTTATTTTCTCATCCTTTTTACTTTTTTTTTTCTTTATTTGTAGCTGACCATCTTTTGTGTGTGTAAGTGTGTGTGTGTGCACTGAAGTTATGTCGTGCTTCCTACAGCCTACTAACAAAGAAGTAGAAAACGGCAAACTCTTTCTTCTCTTTGTCGTTATGAAATGTGTTTGTCAGATTTAGCCGGACTGTTTTTCTGTCTTTTTTTGTAAAAAAACCAGTGCACGGCAACGATTTCCCGAGACTCCCTTCGTTTCTGTCACTTATCACTTTTTTCAGTCAAGATTTTCATCCGATTTTTTTGTTCAGAGGCAAAAAAGAATACGATATCTCCCAAAGCAAAGTCAAATCATGAGATGAGACTGAAGCACGCAACCCGTGTTTGCCTCCCGAAGTAAAAGGCAAAACAAATGGGGAAGGCAAAACTCTTGTAAACTTTGCTTTTTTGCTGTATTTCCCGCGCAGCATTTCGGTCACAGTCAATTTACCGCTGTCATGACCCCACACACACAAGCTCACGGCAGTTGGCTCCTGCTCAAGATGACATTGAAAAAAAGGCTCAAGATTCTGAAGCAAAAAAAGTGGAGTTAGAGAAGCCGAACACGCACTGCTAAAGTGAGAAAAAAATAAAAAAGCAGTTGGACAGCTCTGGAAAGCTCAGAGGAAACAGAAGAAAGAAGGATGGAAGGAGGAAGAAAACGACGACCACCCCAAATGCAACATCACAAGGGGCTCTTATTCATTTTCAGCTCCATTTAATCTTTTTTTCTTTTTCTTTTTCATTTTTCCCTTTATTCTCATCTCTTGCTCTGTTATTCTTTTACATCTTTTGTTTTTGCTGTTGCTGTCCTGTCCCCTCAGTTAAAAGGTTTTTGTGTAGCTCTTTTCTTGCGCACTCTTAAACTGAGGGATTACAACGGTAGAGGAAAGAAGATAAGAAAAGTGAAACAAAGTTAAGGGAAAACAATGGACCAAGCACTATTGGACAGCAAAATGCTGAAATAAAAATTAAAATACCGGCAAGAAAAATGAGAAAAGGGTGGAAAAAGAGCAGCCAGTAGTCTGACAGGTCTCCAAGGAGCTATTTTTAACAAGTTTAAAAAATGTGTGCTCATCTTTTTTCATTAAAAATTGTCAGGGTTTTGCTGCTGCAGCATTAAACTTTGCAACCAAAATTTTGGCAACAGAAAAGTAGTTGCAGTTTTGCTCACTTGTTTTAATTAAAATTGAAAACGTGTTTGCGTGAAAATGAAATAAAACTCGAGTTGGACAATTTAATTGAAAATATAAATGCTGAATGATCTTGTGTTTTACGTTACATAAAAGTTTAAAAATTTTAGCAATGTAAAAGTTTCCTAGCAAGTTTGCTGCGCAGTTTTTAATTTGAACACAACTTTAAAAATAAATGTTAATTTCTAATCTAAACTAACATTTAAATTTTTGATTGATTGTCATTTGTCAATTAAGCAAGCAATTAATTGCGTGTTTTTAAAAATTGTAAAAACCAAATTTTTTATCATAGTAATAATTTAGATTTTTAACTCATTTTGTCGAAATTACCCTTCAGTTAACATTAAAAATTTTTTTGTTTTATGTTAACATTTTGTTTATTGTTTTTGGCCAGTTCTTAATAAATTTTTTTTGTCACGTTTTGAAACCATCATTAGAAACATTTGTGCTAAACTTTGTTATTTGATTATCATTTATTGTTCTAAGTAATAATTACTTGAAATTTTTGTTTTTTGTTTTAGCTAGTTCTAGCATTTAAACCAAAAAGTTTTTGATATTTTAAAACGTGTCAATTGTGTATTGGTTAATTGTTTGGTGCAGTGCAATTTTTAATAAAAATAAAATTTTAGGACTTGTAGAAATTTAAGTTACAAATTTCTAATGTTTTTCAGTTAAAAAAATTAGAAAAAAACTAAATGGCTAAACTATAAATAAAAACGGTGATTTTAAAAACTTTTAAAATTGGTACAAAGCAAAAGTTAATGGTGGTAATAGAAAATAATAATGATAAAGAGGTATATGCTAAGAAGATGATGGCGGTTTCATTGATAGAGTGTGTGCCTGCATAC